TAAATGTATTTTATTTTTTAATTATAATAAGTTTTTGTCAAAATTATAAATGAACTTGAACAAAAACATTTTGCAGATATACAATTGAGATGTCACCCTAACGATCCTTCTCTGCCCCTTCCAAAAAACCGCCATGAGCTTAAAGCAAGAATTTTGCAGGGTCCTTACCAACCAATCTTGAGTTTATATCCAAAAACAAAAATAGGAAATCAGTATCGTAGTTTTCAAGTTCAGTATTTTCAGAAGTACAAATGGATAGAGTTTAGTGAGAAAGAAAATGCTGCATATTGTTTTCCATGTAGATTCTTTAAATCTAATAACTTAAATAATGGTCAACTTGAACAGTCTTTTTCAACTAAAGGTTTTAAGAACTGGGCTAATGCAACAAAACTCCTTAACAAACATCAGTTATCAAATGCTCACATTACTAGTGCATCTTCGTTATCTCATTATATCTCTGGAAAACCTATTGACGAGGTTTTGGACAATGCTAAAAAAGAAAATTTGAAACAGTGTGAAGCCAATCGTATACAAAATCGTACATATTTGGCACGAATTATTGACTTAACAATTTTACTTGGTAAATGTGGTCAAGCATTTAGAGGCCACAATGAGAAGGAAGGCAGTAACAATAGAGGTTTATTTCTGGAACTAGTTTCTTTGTTGAAAAAGTATGATAGTGTTATGTCCAACCATTTAGAAAAAGGTCCCAGAAATGCTTCATACACCAGTAATAGAACACAAAATGATATAATACAGTCAATACATAATGTAATGCTTCGAAAGATTTCATCTATGCTCAAAAATAAATATGTTTCGATTATTGCTGATGAAACCAGTGACTGTGGTCATCACGAGCAGATGTCTATAGTAGTTCGTTTTTTTGATACAAGTTTGAATAAACCAGTTGAATACTTCATGGGTTTGCAACGTCTTTTAAAAGTTGACTCACAGTCTATTTTTGAAGCTTTAAATAATTTTGTAGAAAATATTGGTATATCTTGGGAAAACGTTATTTCTGTATGTTTTGATGGAGCTGCTAACATGTCTGGTTGTCATAATGGTGTTCAAATGAAGTGTAAAGAAAAAAATGAAAATATATTTTATGTACATTGCTATGCACACTGCCTGAATTTAGTCTTAGTAGACTCAATCGGAAGAAAAAATGTAGTATTATTTGATTTTTTTGGTACAGTACAACTAATTTATTCTTTCTTAGAAGGGTCTTGTACAAGGCATGCTGTATTAGAAAAATTTGCAACCAAAATTAATATAAAACTATGCTCACTTAAATCCTTGTCGACAACTAGATGGGCATGCAGACATGAAGCTGTATCAGCTGTCAAGTCCAATTATTCTGCTTTAATACTTGCTCTCGAAGAAATATATAAAGAGACAACTGTATCAGAAGCTAGAGCTAAAGCTCGTGGTATTTTAATGCAAATGAAATCATTTGATTTTATTTTTTCATTAAATATGATGCACTCAATTCTTATGATAATTGTTAAAGTAAGTAGTAGCCTACAGTCAAAAAGTATTAACCTTTTAACAGCGGTATCTTTAGTAACATAATTAAAAGCAAACATTCAAAAGTTCAGATCTGAAGATGAATTATTTAATAATATATATCAAGATACAGTTCAACTTTGCTCACAAAATAATATAATAATTCCTGAAGTGAGAAAACGTAAAATATCTTGTTTTTTGGATGATAATAAAACTCAAACATTTCATCAGACAAAAGAACATGAAATTAAGATAAATTGTTATTATGTAGCATTAGATGACATGATAAATGGATTAAATACTCGATTTTCTCAGGAAACATTAGGTATTATTTCAGCAGTAGGTAATACTCTTCAACTGATTCCTACAGAGAATGATATACAATTACTTCAAGAAAAACTTAAAGTAAATTCTGATTGTTTTAAAACAGAAATCAAATTACTTAAAGAACTTCCAGATACTCCTGAAAAGACTTCTTCTGAATCTATAGAAAATTGGATAGAATGGTTACTTAAGTTAGATAGACTAAATATATTTACTAATTTTTTTGATATTTTAAAAACATTTTTAGTTATTCCAGTCACTAGCTGTTCTAGTGAGAGATCATTCTCAAAACTTGCGTTAGTGAAGTCAAAGTTGCGGAATACAATGAAACAGGATAGACTTGATTCTTTACTGTTATTATTTGTAGAACAAGACCTATTGACTAAAATTGACTACAATGATGTCATTGAAGAGTTTAAAATATTAGTTCCCGGGGAAAGACGTCTACCATTATAATAAATAATATGTATTAAATAAATGACATTTTTGTATTAATCAAATAAATAATGTGTATTGACTTATTAAATACCTATAATTTTTAGCAACACCTACCACTAAGTCCTGCGCACGCCTATG